AATTGTTCAAAAGCTTTTCACGGTCTTTTTTAGTTCTGCCGGGCATTATTTCTCCCAATTCTTTATTATTCTTGATGTTTTTCTGTGATTATTTAAAAAATGCCTGGTATCTAGAAAATGTTCTGGCTCTGTAGATGTTGTATTTTCAAGATACAAGTCATCTGCTGCTCTATAAGCAGAGCTATCTGGATCTGTTGTTAAATGTTTAGCTTCAATACCATCACTTGCAAGATCTTGCAGAGCTTCTTTTGCCCATGTGTACTCATCTCCTATGCTTTTCATGAATGTTAAATTTGAACTACATGCAGAAGTGCACTTTTCACCTGATCTGATTGGATGAACTGAACAAAGTTTATTTTTGCAAACAACTCCTATAATGCTTTTATCTTCTGTTTCAGCTTCTGCAACAGAATACACCACTTGTGTAGCAGGCTGGAATGGGGTTTTTCCAATGCTGGAATATATTGCATTGTTGTATGCACCGTCAGCCTGTAGACTTACAGAACCAGGATCTTTTCTTCCTCTGAGTGTATTAATTTCAATCAGCTGCTTGCGTCGCGCTTTCATGTCTTTCTTATTTATATTTACTATTTCAGGTAGCACTTTATTTGCCCTCTTTTGTAGTCCTGAAGTGGATGGAGCTGGCATGTTACAGCCAAGTACTATTTTCCTCAAACCAGTATATCCAAGTGGTGTTTGACTTAATGCTGCTTGGGCGGATACATTTATCTTGGCTGCCTTCCTTCCTGGTTTTTTGGTTTGCACTTCTTCATAGAGTTTGAACTTTCTCGATCGATAGGTGCATTTGTCACACATTGCCTCTTCACGATTAACAAATCCAAACTTTTCTTCTCTTTCCATATTCCACTGTAAAAATCCATTACAATTGGGATGAAGTCTTTGGTGTTCTCCAAATACAGAGTTCCACATTATTGCATTCAGTCTCACATTTACTGTTCTATTAGATGAATCTTCAGACCTAACATTTAATAGAAAAGAATGCCATAAGAGAGTGTTTTTCTACCTGTAACAGTAGTTTCTAAATGTACTTAAAAATATTTGTGAATTACCTCCCTTTGATCACAATTTTTTTTTGGCACAAATATAAAATAGAATTTCTTGGTATTATGAAGCTAAGCAGGTTGAAGTATCAATATTTTCTTTAAGTTAAGCATATATTTTATTAATTCAAGAAGGTACGACAACAACAAAATATTATTTCAAGGGAAATTTCTAGATTTAAAGAACTGATAGGCATTTTCAATCCGCTTTCAGAAAAATAATTTAAAATAGAGTTAAATAATACCTATGTTCATATTAACTGGTATTTCGATATTTTATGTTATTCCTTTAATTATCATTTAACCTACCTTTGATTTTTCTTTGCTGATTTCATTGTTTTTTTAATTTTAGGAGCAGCATCCCTTGGTCGCAACAGAACAGCAGGTTTGGTGTCAATTATAGATTGAGTATCGGTATCCTTATATGGAATATTTTGCACAAGAGAAGTCATTTTTCTGGTAAGTCTTTTATAAACTGTTTGTGTTGTGTCACTTTTACTTGGTTTTACAGTTTTTCTTTGTCTATTGTAAGGCACAGTTCCAGTTGGAAAACCTGAATTATTTCCCTTTCTGAACTTGGTCATTTTAATATGTAGAATTTATTTGTAATCCGTGAATGTAACTGTTTAAGGAAAAAGTTTGTGAAAGTTTGGGATTCTGTCTTTACTTTTATATTGGAAATTTGGTTAAAATTTGCATCTTTAATTTGAAAGAAAGGCACCAAACAGAACTCTCATAAAAAATTCTCATAAACAGAGAGAGATAGCAGTACAGATATACATTTTTAATTCTTACAGCTGCAGTGACAGATATGATAAGATAATTGATTCATCATCTCTGGTCACTGTCTTATCTGTTTGGTGTAAGGTTATGGTTTTTTAGTGCATTAAGTTGTTTCAGATTAAACTTTTAATACTTCAAAATTAAGAAAATTGTCATTTTTTCCTGTAGTTTTCAATTCTTGGGTAGAATCTACCCCAATTATCTGACAGCTGATGTTAGTGTTTTATGTGAAAGTCATATCCACTAGTCTATTGATAAAACACACAGACTTATTGCTTTTGTATATTTAATAAGAAAATAAATAAGTTTTATTTGGCAAAAAAATCAACTCTCAGCTTCACATTTCCTCTGCCGTCATTTGGGGTACATGTTGAACTTTTCTTTTTTCTTCGCTTGTAAGTGATCGACATCTTTTGTCTACAATTTTTCCATTACTAGATATAACAAATATTCATTTGGCCTAAAATTTGCTAGATTCTGGGCCCTTTTTTTTATTCTATATTGGGATGAAATTTACTTTCACTTTCATTTTGGAAAAGCAAGTTGCTGAATCAGACTTCTTTTAAAACGTTTTTGTGATTGTGTCAGCATCATGGAGGACTTTCATAAAGATTTAGAGGAGAAATTTCTAAAAAAAAACAAAAAAAATGGGCAATATTCATGGTTGTGTAGCATGGGACGGCTATGTTGATAAATTAGGATACGGTGTCATAAATGTAAACTGGCCAAGGGAGGGTGCAAAAAAAGAAAGAGCACACAGACTAGCATATATGATTAAGGAAAGAATAAGCCACAATGATATGCCAAGACTTGATGAAAACAACAACCGCATAGAATGTAGTCACTTGTGCCATAATAAGACCTGTGTCAATTCAGAGCATATTAAACTTGAGTCCCATGCTACAAACCAGGAACGTATTCATTGTAAAGGGCAAAATTTATGTGCAAAATGTCATGAACCACATTGTCTTATATGAAAGTATGCTTTATTTACAAATTAACACTTTTTTGTCACTGCAACTCGTTGTTTTTTGGCATAGGGATGGTCCTCGGCTTGCGTTTTTGTACGTTTCACTGGCCGCATAAGCTTGTTTTTCTCGTAACACTTTTCTTCCTGATGTTTTTCATAAATTTTATACAAATGTTTCCTAGTATCAGACCTCTCCTTTTTATATTTTATTGATTTTTTATAAGCTTTCTGCATTCTGTCTGTTTTTTGTATAGCTTTAAGTTCTTTTTCAGCAGCAGACCCAGGACTGATTTCTGCCCCAAGTTGCTTACAGATCACTAGGAGAGACTCACCAGGACCAAGATTTACACTATGAATAGCTGAATGGACACGACCTTCAAAGTTTTTTGTATAGGTAACATTTTTTGGTAGTGATCTACGCAGTGATCTGTTAAATCCCTCGATTTTTTGAGTATTTAGGTTCAATCTCGTCTTTTTTAAAGCGCTCGGACTGAGACAATATAACACACACTTTCTTATGGCATTCAAGTTTTAGTCCAATTTTCTGATTTTAAAACTGTTCGGTAAGAAAGCTCTGTTGGACAACCAGAACTTTTTTCCACCCTTGCAAACAAAGGAATGCCTATGGCAAAGTTCATGATTGCCTGTGTAACATGCAGGTATGGCATCAACGGTGAAAGAGATTTTATTCTTCACTTTGACAAAGTCACCGCCATATTTTTCCATGGCCTGGGTAAACTCCGACTGACATCTCTCAGCTAAATCCAGAGCGAAATTGTTCAAAAGCTTTTCACGGTCTTTTTTAGTTCTGCCGGGCATTATTTCTCCCAATTCTTTATTATTCTTGATGTTTTTCTGTGATTATTTAAAAAATGCCTGGTATCTAGAAAATGTTCTGGCTCTGTAGATGTTGTATTTTCAAGATACAAGTCATCTGCTGCTCTATAAGCAGAGCTATCTGGATCTGTTGTTAAATGTTTAGCTTCAATACCATCACTTGCAAGATCTTGCAGAGCTTCTTTTGCCCATGTGTACTCATCTCCTATGCTTTTCATGAATGTTAAATTTGAACTACATGCAGAAGTGCACTTTTCACCTGATCTGATTGGATGAACTGAACAAAGTTTATTTTTGCAAACAACTCCTATAATGCTTTTATCTTCTGTTTCAGCTTCTGCAACAGAATACACCACTTGTGTAGCAGGCTGGAATGGGGTTTTTCCAATGCCGGAATATATTGCATTGTTGTATGCACCGTCAGCCTGTAGACTTACAGAACCAGGATCTTTTCTTCCTCTGAGTGTATTAATTTCAATCAGCTGCTTGCGTCGCGCTTTCATGTCTTTCTTATTTATATTTACTATTTCAGGTAGCACTTTATTTGCCCTCTTTTGTAGTCCTGAAGTGGATGGAGCTGGCATGTTACAGCCAAGTACTATTTTCCTCAAACCAGTATATCCAAGTGGTGTTTGACTTAATGCTGCTTGGGCGGATACATTTATCTTGGCTGCCTTCCTTCCTGGTTTTTTGGTTTGCACTTCTTGATAGAGTTTGAACTTTCTCGATCGATAGGTGCATTTGTCACACATTGCCTCTTCACGATTAACAAATCCAAACTTTTCTTCTCTTTCCATATTCCACTGTAAAAATCCATTACAATTGGGATGAAGTCTTTGGTGTTCTCCAAATACAGAGTTCCACATTATTGCATTCAGTCTCACATTTACTGTTCTATTAGATGAATCTTCAGACCTAACATTTAATAGAAAAGAATGCCATAAGAGAGTGTTTTTCTACCTGTAACAGTAGTTTCTAAATGTACTTAAAAATATTTGTGAATTACCTCCCTTTGATCACAATTTTTTTTTGGCACAAATATAAAATAGAATTTCTTGGTATTATGAAGCTAAGCAGGTTGAAGTATCAATATTTTCTTTAAGTTAAGCATATATTTTATTAATTCAAGAAGGTACGACAACAACAAAATATTATTTCAAGGGAAATTTCTAGATTTAAAGAACTGATAGGCATTTTCAATCCGCTTTCAGAAAAATAATTTAAAATAGAGTTAAATAATACCTATGTTCATATTAACTGGTATTTCGATATTTTATGTTATTCCTTTAATTATCATTTAACCTACCTTTGATTTTTCTTTGCTGATTTCATTGTTTTTTTAATTTTAGGAGCAGCATCCCTTGGTCGCAACAGAACAGCAGGTTTGGTGTCATTTATAGATTGAGTATCGGTATCCTTATATGGAATATTTTGCACAAGAGAAGTCATTTTTCTGGTAAGTCTTTTATAAACTGTTTGTGTTGTGTCACTTTTACTTGGTTTTACAGTTTTTCTTTGTCTATTGTAAGGCACAGTTCCAGTTGGAAAACCTGAATTATTTCCCTTTCTGAACTTGGTCATTTTAATATGTAGAATTTATTTGTAATCCGTGAATGTTACTGTTTAAGGTGAAAGTTTGGGATTCTGTCTTTACTTTTATATTGGAAATTTGGTTAAAATTTGCATCTTTAATTTGAAAGAAAGGCACCAAACAGAACTCTCATAAAAAATTCTCATTAACAGAGAGAGATAGCAGTACAGATATAAATTTTTAATTCTTACAGCTGCAGTGACAGATATGATAAGATAATTGATTCATCATCTCTGGTCACTGTCTTATCTGTTTGGTGTAAGGTTATGGTTTTTTAGTGCATTAAGTTGTTTCAGATTAAACTTTTAATACTTCAAAATTAAGAAAATTGTCATTTTTTCCTGTAGTTTTCAATTCTTGGGTAGAATCTACCCCAATTATCTGACAGCTGATGTTAGTGTTTTATGTGAAAGTCATATCCACTAGTCTATTGATAAAACACACAGACTTATTGCTTTTGTATATTTAATAAGAAAATAAATAAGTTTTATTTGGCAAAAAAATCAACTCTCAGCTTCACATTTCCTCTGCCGTCATTTGGGGTACATGTTGAACTTTTCTTTTTTCTTCGCTTGTAAGTGATCGACATCTTTTGCCTACAACTTTTCCATTACTAGATATAACAAATATTCATTTGGCCTAAAATTTGCTAGATTCTGGGCCCTTTTCTTGATTCTATAGGTTACAATCTACCATTAGCTCTTTTGGGACCAGTCGAAAATGAGCATAACATGGTATTCAGAAACAAAAACATGGCAGATTTTGATTGGGTGGAGTATGCCACAAATAATAATTTTTTTTCCTGAAACCTTATGGATTCTTGGTTGTAGCAATGACAAAATAAAATTTGATTCCTCCTTCAGAAGTAGTTGAGAATTTGTTTTCTTCCTGTTGTTGAATGCATAAATTTTACTGTTATTTTTGTGTGAGATTGACGGTCACCCTTGACAACTGTAAATTACACCTAGAAAAGCAATGCGACCATATCATTTTTTTTATCAAAAATGTTAACACAATAAATATTCTTTATTTTAAAAAAGGTTTTATAATAAAAATCAACTCAATAAAATCAGTACAGCAAGAAACATTACTATTGTCGGCAATGGAAAAATCAATTGTTTTTTACATTCTATATTGGGATGAAATTTACTTTCACTTTCATTTTGGAAAAGCAAGTTGCTGAATCAGACTTCTTTTAAAACGTTTTTGTGATTGTGTCAGCATCATGGAGGACTTTCATAAAGATTTAGAGGAGAGATTTCTAAAAAAAACAAAAAAAAATGGGCAATATTCATGGTTGTGTAGCATGGGACGGCTATGTTGATAAATTAGGATACGGTGTCATGAATGTAAACTGGCCAAGGGAGGGTGCAAAAAAAGAAAGAACACACAGACTAGCATATATGATTAAGGAAAGAATAAGCCACAATGATATGCCAAGACTTGATGAAAACAACAACCGCATAGAATGTAGTCACTTGTGCCATAATAAGACCTGTGTCAATTCAGAGCATATTAAACTTGAGTTCCATGCTATAAACCAGGAACGTATTCATTGTAAAGGGCAAAATTTATGTGCAAAATGTCATGAACCACATTGTCTTATATGAAAGTATGCTTTATTTACAAATTAACACTTTTTTGTCACTGCAACTCGTTGTTTTTTGGCATAGGGATGGTCCTCGGCTTGCGTTTTTGTACGTTTCACTGGCCGCATAAGCTTGTTTTTCTCGTAACACTTTTCTTCCTGATGTTTTTCATAAATTTTATACAAATGTTTCCTAGTATCAGACCTCTCCTTTTTATATTTTATTGATTTTTTATAAGCTTTCTGCATACTGTCTGTTTTTTTGTATAGCTTTAAGTTCTTTTTCAGCAGCAGACCCAGGACTGATTTCTGCCCCAAGTTGCTTACAGATCACTAGGAGAGACTCACCAGGACCAAGATTTACACTATGAATAGCTGAATGGACACGACCTTCAAAGTTTTTTGTATAGGTAACATTTTTTGGTAGTGATCTACGCAGTGATCTGTTAAATCCCTCGACTTTTTGAGTATTTAGGTTCTATCTCGTCTTTTTTAAAGCGCTCGGACTGAGACAATATAACACACACTTTCTTATGGCATTCAAGTTTTAGTCCAATTTTCTGATTTTAAAACTGTTCGGTAAGAAAGCTCTGTTGGACAACCAGAACTTTTTTCCACCCTTGCAAACAAAGGAATGCCTATGGCAAAGTTCATGATTGCCTGTGTAACATGCAGGTATGGCATCAACGGTGAAAGAGATTTTATTCTTCACTTTGACAAAGTCACCGCCATATTTTTCCATGGCCTGGGTAAACTCCGACTGACATCTCTCAGCTAAATCCAGAGCGAAATTGTTCAAAAGCTTTTCACGGTCTTTTTTAGTTCTGCCGGGCATTATTTCTCCTAATTCTTTATTATTCTTGATGTTTTTCTGTGATTATTTAAAAAATGCCTGGTATCTAGAAAATGTTCTGGCTCTGTAGATGTTGTATTTTCAAGATACAAGTCATCTGCTGCTCTATAAGCAGAGCTATCTGGATCTGTTGTTAAATGTTTAGCTTCAATACCATCACTTGCAAGATCTTGCAGAGCTTCTTTTGCCCATGTGTACTCATCTCCTATGCTTTTCATGAATGTTAAATTTGAACTACATGCAGAAGTGCACTTTTCACCTGATCTGATTGGATGAACTGAACAAAGTTTATTTTTGCAAACAACTCCTATAATGCTTTTATCTTCTGTTTCAGCTTCTGCAACAGAATACACCACTTGTGTAGCAGGCTGGAATGGGGTTTTTCCAATGCCGGAATATATTGCATTGTTGTATGCACCGTCAGCCTGTAGACTTACAGAACCAGGATCTTTTCTTCCTCTGAGTGTATTAATTTCAATCAGCTGCTTGCGTCGCACTTTCATGTCTTTCTTATTTATATTTACTATTTCAGGTAGCACTTTATTTGCCCTCTTTTGTAGTCCTGAAGTGGATGGAGCTGGCATGTTACAGCCAAGTACTATTTTCCTCAAACCAGTATATCCAAGTGGTGTTTGACTTAATGCTGCTTGGGCGGATACATTTATCTTGGCTGCCTTCCTTCCTGGTTTTTTGGTTTGCACTTCTTGATAGAGTTTGAACTTTCTCGATCGATAGGTGCATTTGTCACACATTGCCTCTTCACGATTAACAAATCCAAACTTTTCTTCTCTTTCCATATTCCACTGTAAAAATCCATTACAATTGGGATGAAGTCTTTGGTGTTCTCCAAATACAGAGTTCCACATTATTGCATTCAGTCTCACATTTACTGTTCTATTAGATGAATCTTCAGACCTAACATTTAATAGAAAAGAATGCCATAAGAGAGTGTTTTTCTACCTGTAACAGTAGTTTCTAAATGTACTTAAAAATATTTGTGAATTACCTCCCTTTGATCACAATTTTTTTTGGCACAAATATAAAATAGAATTTCTTGGTATTATGAAGCTAAGCAGGTTGAAGTATCAATATTTTCTTTAAGTTAAGCATATATTTTATTAATTCAAGAAGGTACGACAACAACAAAATATTATTTCAAGGGAAATTTCTAGATTTAAAGAACTGATAGGCATTTTCAATCCGCTTTCAGAAAAATAATTTAAAATAGAGTTAAATAATACCTATGTTCATATTAACTGGTATTTCGATATTTTATGTTATTCCTTTAATTATCATTTAACCTACCTTTGATTTTTCTTTGCTGATTTCATTGTTTTTTTAATTTTAGGAGCAGCATCCCTTGGTCGCAACAGAACAGCAGGTTTGGTGTCATTTATAGATTGAGTATCGGTATGCTTATATGGAATATTTTGCACAAGAGAAGTCATTTTTCTGGTAAGTCTTTTATAAACTGTTTGTGTTGTGTCACTTTTACTTGGTTTTACAGTTTTTCTTTGTCTATTGTAAGGCACAGTTCCAGTTGGAAAACCTGAATTATTTCCCTTTCTGAACTTGGTCATTTTAATATGTAGAATTTATTTGTAATCCGTGAATGTTACTGTTTAAGGTGAAAGTTTGGGATTCTGTCTTTACTTTTATATTGGAAATTTGGTTAAAATTTGCATCTTTAATTTGAAAGAAAGGCACCAAACAGAACTCTCATAAAAAATTCTCATTAACAGAGAGAGATAGCAGTACAGATATAAATTTTTAATTCTTACAGCTGCAGTGACAGATATGATAAGATAATTGATTCATCATCTCTGGTCACTGTCTTATCTGTTTGGTGTAAGGTTATGGTTTTTTAGTGCATTAAGTTGTTTCAGATTAAACTTTTAATACTTCAAAATTAAGAAAATTGTCATTTTTTCCTGTAGTTTTCAATTCTTGGGTAGAATCTACCCCAATTATCTGACAGCTGATGTTAGTGTTTTATGTGAAAGTCATATCCACTAGTCTATTGATAAAACACACAGACTTATTGCTTTTGTATATTTAATAAGAAAATAAATAAGTTTTATTTGGCAAAAAAATCAACTCTCAGCTTCACATTTCCTCTGCCGTCATTTGGGGTACATGTTGAACTTTTCTTTTTTCTTCGCTTGTAAGTGATCGACATCTTTTGCCTACAACTTTTCCATTACTAGATATAACAAATATTCATTTGGCCTAAAATTTGCTAGATTCTGGGCCCTTTTCTTGATTCTATAGGTTACAATCTACCATTAGCTCTTTTGGGACCAGTCGAAAATGAGCATAACATGGTATTCAGAAACAAAACCATGGCAGATTTTGATTGGGTGGAGTATGCCACAAATAATAATTTTTTTTCCTGAAACCTTATGGATTCTTGGTTGTAGCAATGACAAAATAAAATTTGATTCCTCCTTCAGAAGTAGTTGAGAATTTGTTTTCTTCCTGTTGTTGAATGCATAAATTTTACTGTTATTTTTGTGTGAGATTGACGGTCACCCTTGACAACTGTAAATTACACCTAGAAAAGCAATGCGACCATATCATTTTTTTTATCAAAAATGTTAACACAATAAATATTCTTTATTTTAAAAAAGGTTTTATAATAAAAATCAACTCAATAAAATCAGTACAGCAAGAAACATTACTATTGTCGGCAATGGAAAAATCAATTGTTTTTTACATTCTATATTGGGATGAAATTTACTTTCACTTTCATTTTGGAAAAGCAAGTTGCTGAATCAGACTTCTTTTAAAACGTTTTTGTGATTGTGTCAGCATCATGGAGGACTTTCATAAAGATTTAGAGGAGAGATTTCTAAAAAAAACAAAAAAAAATGGGCAATATTCATGGTTGTGTAGCATGGGACGGCTATGTTGATAAATTAGGATACGGTGTCATGAATGTAAACTGGCCAAGGGAGGGTGCAAAAAAAGAAAGAGCACACAGACTAGCATATATGATTAAGGAAAGAATAAGCCACAATGATATGCCAAGACTTGATGAAAACAACAACCGCATAGAATGTAGTCACTTGTGCCATAATAAGACCTGTGTCAATTCAGAGCATATTAAACTTGAGTTCCATGCTATAAACCAGGAACGTATTCATTGTAAAGGGCAAAATTTATGTGCAAAATGTCATGAACCACATTGTCTTATATGAAAGTATGCTTTATTTACAAATTAACACTTTTTTGTCACTGCAACTCGTTGTTTTTTGGCATAGGGATGGTCCTCGGCTTGCGTTTTTGTACGTTTCACTGGCCGCATAAGCTTGTTTTTCTCGTAACACTTTTCTTCCTGATGTTTTTCATAAATTTTATACAAATGTTTCCTAGTATCAGACCTCTCCTTTTTATATTTTATTGATTTTTTATAAGCTTTCTGCATACTGTCTGTTTTTTTGTATAGCTTTAAGTTCTTTTTCAGCAGCAGACCCAGGACTGATTTCTGCCCCAAGTTGCTTACAGATCACTAGGAGAGACTCACCAGGACCAAGATTTACACTATGAATAGCTGAATGGACACGACCTTCAAAGTTTTTTGTATAGGTAACATTTTTTGGTAGTGATCTACGCAGTGATCTGTTAAATCCCTCGACTTTTTGAGTATTTAGGTTCTATCTCGTCTTTTTTAAAGCGCTCGGACTGAGACAATATAACACACACTTTCTTATGGCATTCAAGTTTTAGTCCAATTTTCTGATTTTAAAACTGTTCGGTAAGAAAGCTCTGTTGGACAACCAGAACTTTTTTCCACCCTTGCAAACAAAGGAATGCCTATGGCAAAGTTCATGATTGCCTGTGTAAAATGCAGGTATGGCATCAACGGTGAAAGAGATTTTATTCTTCACTTTGACAAAGTCACCGCCATATTTTTCCATGGCCTGGGTAAACTCCGACTGACATCTCTCAGCTAAATCCAGAGCGAAATTGTTCAAAAGCTTTTCACGGTCTTTTTTAGTTCTGCCGGGCATTATTTCTCCTAATTCTTTATTATTCTTGATGTTTTTCTGTGATTATTTAAAAAATGCCTGGTATCTAGAAAATGTTCTGGCTCTGTAGATGTTGTATTTTCAAGATACAAGTCATCTGCTGCTCTATAAGCAGAGCTATCTGGATCTGTTGTTAAATGTTTAGCTTCAATACCATCACTTGCAAGATCTTGCAGAGCTTCTTTTGCCCATGTGTACTCATCTCCTATGCTTTTCATGAATGTTAAATTTGAACTACATGCAGAAGTGCACTTTTCACCTGATCTGATTGGATGAACTGAACAAAAGTTTATTTTTGCAAACAACTCCTATAATGCTTTTATCTTCTGTTTCAGCTTCTGCAACAGAATACACCACTTGTGTAGCAGGCTGGAATGGGGTTTTTCCAATGCCGGAATATATTGCATTGTTGTATGCACCGTCAGCCTGTAGACTTACAGAACCAGGATCTTTTCTTCCTCTGAGTGTATTAATTTCAATCAGCTGCTTGCGTCGCGCTTTCATGTCTTTCTTATTTATATTTACTATTTCAGGTAGCACTTTATTTGCCCTCTTTTGTAGTCCTGAAGTGGATGGAGCTGGCATGTTA